CCTCGGCGTATCTTGGCCGACGATCCGAGCATTACCTTGTTCACTTCTAGAGCTTGACACACCAATAGTCCCAACATCATGCTCTTTGTACTTTATTCTGATATTCGTGCAGTGTTACGTAGCCTATACACCTATGCAAACACAGCGCACCACCTTGCCCACCATCTCATTTATGCTCTCTACAAAGTTCTCATTAATGAACTCGTTATTTCCTCTTTAGCGGGCGAGCTTGCGAGGCGCTGCCCCAGCTGCGCCATCTTTGCAGCCATTCTTTCTCGTTTCCTTTTCCCCAGGAACATGTAGAGTGGTATCGAGATAAAAACATAGTCGTACTCAAGCAGCATCTGTCCGATGCTCTTGTCCTTTACCGGTATCAACGCCGAGGATGCGTGAGAAATCATGCCGCTGCGTCCTGATGCATGCATACAAGTAGATTACCCACACGTGACAAGAACGGTTGGGATACAAAAAGAAATAAAATAAAAAGAGGTTTTTGTCCACATCCAATTACTGAATCCCGCTTAGCCTGTATCTCCTTAGTCGTTACGATTCGTGTCTCAAGGCTCCGCGGCTGAAGGGAATATCTGCCGCCCGAACACGAGGCTTTTACAGAGAATAAATCCGCATTAGCCGTCGAGAGTCTAGTTTGATATTCGCGGTAATACAAAGTTTTTGAATCCTCATGCAAACTGGCGTTTGAGATCCTGCCATTTTCTGCTGAGTGCCTCATGTTGAGCATTAATCTGTGGTAGGATTAGTACGGCTTATGAGGAAAATTCGCGAAACAGGGGTCTGACTTACCTCCGCATATTGCATCTTCGTTTGTACTAACTGCTCCTCCAGTTCTGACAGTTCCTTCTCAAGTCGCTCATTCTCTTGGTGTACTTTCTCATTCCGTTTCATGAGATCGTCACGCTCCAGTTGCCAAGCTTGCTCGATTTCCTCCGGTTGTTTCTCAATGACGATACGGAGCTCCTTGACCTGCCCAGTGAGACTCTCATTCTTGTCCTTTAGTTCTTCGTTCTCGACCTTAGTACGAATAAGATCATTCGTCATATCTGCTTGCTCACGGTCGCTGGCTTCAATCCGTTCTTCTAGTTTGCGGGCTTTGATGGCGAGGCCCACGTTGGCGGTCCTAAGCTGCTCTAACTCTTGTTCTCGTTCCTTTTCTGAGCGTGTTTTCTCCTCCCATTCCATAGCATAGGCTTTGAGGAGTTCTGGTGTGAGCTTGATCTCACAAGCATCGCGAATTAGTTGGTCAGCTCGATATACCTCTTTGTCAATGTTAGAGGAGCTGCTACCGAAGAAACCGTTTTCAAGGATGCTGCCAGCGCTCGGCGACTGATCAATGTAAACATCGAACAGTTTGTCCTTCAAAAAGGTAGTCAGTTGTGACATGTCTGACATACCACGAAGCGTGGAAGAATTCTTTTGCATGAGGACTACACCGAATCGAATAATGGCAGACAAGCCCTCGGAAAGTATGAGGTCGTAGATCCTCAGAACTAATTGCAGAGGAAATCTGTAAGCGAACAAGGTAAGAAACCACTGAGTGGCATATAGATGGGGGGATATTCCCCGGCGATGCAAATGACAATATAGCGCAGGGTCCAAATCTTCTAGTATGCGCTCAAACTGATATAAATGCATATGGAGTCCTGGCATATCCTGGATGAACAAGTCGCGCAGCTTGTACTGGTTCATGAGGCGTACCAAGAGACAAAATGCTTCTTCCTCAGGCATGTTGAACAGGAGAGGCATGATGAGGAAGTTCATGCCCTGGGCATATCCCACAGCTTCGTCGTAAAGCGCATAAGCTTTACAAACACCGAAAAGGCCATCTTGTAAGCCCGCGGCAGCAGCGTATTTGGAATAACTTGTTCTGGTGCCAAGATCCCGTCTGATAGTCTTTTCGAGCTTCTGCAGTGCCACCGCATCCTCCTTCTCCTTCTTTTTCTTTTCTGAAGCAGCTAGTGCTTGGGCCTTCAGAGCGGCTTCAGATTGTTCGGGAGGTGTCCCAGGTAATCGCTTTCCATTCCCACCAGAGAGCTCAGACTTGGTGGAAGATGCAGATGAAGCCGTAGGCTCTTTCTCGGTACTCAGGTTACCACCACTGGTGACGCTCGCTGCGGTGCTGTTGCTGTTTCTGTTCTTATCTTTCTCGGTTCCCCGAGACACCAATTCTTTGTAGACCATCTCCAAGTCTTCGTTTTTGCTTTGAGCCAAGACTTGCCAAACGACACCACGAATGGCGTTGGGGATACCACTTGCAATTGCTCGGTTTAATTCTTCAGGGCTTGTGCGAGCAACAGCGGCCGGCCCTTCGTAGACGACGGACTGCCATAGATCCCAGTCGACCGGAATATCTGCCATTGCGGACGGTCCAGCCGAAACGCCTGATACAGTGCCTGGAGCTAGATTGGTATCGGCGTTGGGTGGCAGTGGTGATACTGGTGGTTGAGTATTTACTGCGTCGGCAGCGTCTGTGCTGGGACTCATGATGCTTGTAGTGGATGATCGCGGAATTAAGTTCGGGACAGCGATTTGAGGCGGCTCATCGTCGCTGGGATTTAAAGATATGCCGGCCTCTTCCCGTAGACGTACCATTTTGAATCTGTCCCTCAAGCTGTTTCTCAACGGGCGAGACCCTGCATTCCCGCCCGCCGATTCATGCTCTTCTTCCAGTTTGCTCAACATCATTTCCGGATTGCTAGTTAGTGTGGCTATTGAGCTTGCGGTGTTCCGCCTAGGGGAGCCCGTGCTGGCTAAAGCTGGCGCAGCGACGGTTTCTTTGTGACCAGAATTTCGGGAGAGCCAAGAAAAGGGGCTCGTGATCTTGCGGGTAGGAGGAGGCGGAGGAGGTGGTACCGCTGCGTCGGTGGGCGGCGCGACAGGACTCGTTTTCGGCGGAGATTCAGCATTCGATGGAGACCATGGCATGGCAGGTAGGGAAGATGCGATATTGCTAAGAGAGAGCTTCTTTGTGGGCTGCTTCCCTACAGCTGGCACTGCTTGTTCTTCTGACTCAGTAATTAGCCCATGTATCCAATATATGTGAACGCCTTCCGGAGCAACCAACCTTTGGGCTGCTCGCTCGAGGGACCGTCACCAAGATCCACATTGTCTAAAGAAGCTTGTGATAGCCGCTTTGAAGTCCTTGCCGAGTCCGTAGCGACAGTTCCAGTCCCACCTACGTCGTCCGGGTTCTCGATGTCGCTTACCGTGTGGCCGTTTGGCTTCTCTGTGTCCACGGGGTCCTCTGGTGCATTGGGGGCACCATCGGCATTGAGGCCACTCGGGAGGGGGGGTTTCGGCTGGGTAACTTTGCGATTTGTGAGTGATCGGACAGACCCCGTGTCAATAGCATCTTCGAAGGTGTCCTAGAGGTGCATGAAGTCAGTCCAAATGCGCCCCCAGCGTCGCATGCAGCAGGTAACGTAAGGTGAGTGGCGGTGGGTTTGGATGGTACAGTAAGATTAGGTCATTACTCTACGTACCGTCTCCTTGTCCGAAGCTGCTGGCGAATCGTCAAGTCGGGCCGCCATTTCGGAGGCGGGTTCCTCGTGGGTCGACATATTACCAACCGACGTGCTTTCCAACCTGAAGACGAGAGCAGAAGGGGTCCTCTGAGAATGCAAGTCGAAATCACGAATAGTATCGCAAGGGGCCTCGGACCAATTCGTACGGTACAGCACTTAAGACGACCTTGCCATTAGCAACGGGGTACTAATGGGGCCACCAATAGATGTTTTGGATGGTTCGGCGTTAGGGAAGGCTGATGCAGTGTAGAGGTGCAGGCAATGCAACGTCGAATGAGCCCAGGGGTTCGTCAACGTCGACCGTCGACCGGGTGAGCGGATTCAAGAAGAGCAGCACGGAGAACGGGGGAAAAGAAGAGAAAAACAGAGAGAACAAAATGTGCAAATGAATCTAACGGCGGTGGTACAGCTCCATGTACCCTACGATGACTGGTTGGTGGGTTGGCAGGCTGGCTGTGAGTAAACGGCATGAACAAGTAAAATTGAGGTGCTCTCACGACGTTTGTTTCCTTTTCTGCTTCTGCTTCTGCTGCTGTTCGCCCCTGTTTGGAGAGGACACAGCGCCGTGAGTAGCTGCTGTTACCGTGCCGTTACGGCACCTGCCTGCCTAATCCGCCTAACCTACAGTGCATTATTGGATATAAATGCGGACGGTAATTACGACAACCCACACACAGTAGAGACCCCTACGTCCCCGCGCGCCCATATGCACGCCTCTCTGCACTATGTGCCTGCATTGGGTTCCCTAGCGCGATCTACAGCAGTCTTACTAGCTGAGTGAACAGTTACTTACCTCTACCGTGCCTAAGGTATCGGGTATCGGATGTTGGATATGTGGGTTGGCAAGTGTTTACAAAGTATAAATGAACGATTCAACTCGGAGTATCGATTCCACTCCTAAACCTCTACTTGACCTGTTAGGTATGGCTTCTTATTCTCATTGACGCGCGCGCACATGTAGTTGAGGCAAATATGTTATTGAACAAGGTATCCTCTACACAACAGGTCTTTTAAGTATATGTCTGGGGCATGGTAAGCTTACCTTGGCTGTAAGAAGTTATGTGATGTCATGCGACAGGCGAACAGCAGCATCACGAAACATGTTTGAAATAAAAGACATACATGGCTCTCGGCAGCTAAGGTGCGATACCTAACTTTACCTACAGCTCTGCCCTGTAACACGAAAAGAAAAGCCTCCACCGTGTACTACTCTACTCCAATATACAATTAGTCGCACAGGCGATAAACAGACTGTAGCGTAAAAAGCAGTTAGCACTTTTACCCCTATCTAGGGGTTTTAGTGTGGTGAACTTCAGATGCAATCCCGGCGTGGCGCTTTGTTTCATGCGAAAAAGCTGTCCAATGAGATAAGTCGTTATACGACGAACTCAAATGACATTAGTGTCTGGCAAGATCCACCCTCCTAAAAAGGCATTGTATCACAAGATGCAAAACAACATTTGTCCTCGGTGAGACTCGAACTCACGACCTTAGGATATCCCAATTTTTGATTGGGTCATATGAATATGAGACCTACGCGCTAACCAACTGCGCTACGAAGACCTCGGTAGTCCCTGAGAACAGGGAGAGCCAATCCCATATATATTGATAGGTTCACGCTATCGCTTTATATACTTGGCAAATCTTTGTGATCATAACATGCCACCTCAAAGTCTTTCTTTTGGATACTACCATGAGAATCGAACCCCCCTTAAGAATGAATGCCAAGGGAATATTTACCGCATTACTAAGACATAGTCAACTCGTTGTTACGACCACTGAAGGTGGTACTGCGACGGCGACATGGGCCTCGCGACCTACCATCCATCATCTGGCTGGCCACATGTTGTGTGCTGTCTCTTGTCGAGATTCCGAATGAATCTAAGGAAATTCTGCTCCTGCTGACAGCCGTGCGGGTTCCACCTGTAGTGAAGATGCAATCCACGCCATGAGATGCCGCAGGTCAGCCGTATGCCGCTGTGTCGTTCGGTGCGGTGCTATGCTAGCCGAATAGTAGAGGGCATGGCCGGATGTTTTTGCAAATGCGACTTAGGCCGGCGGCTGCCCGTTTCCTTTGTAGCACATCTAAACTTTGAGTTGAAGATGGCAAGTGGACTTTGGGCCGAAGATAGAGACGGCCTCATCTCGATACGTCCCAAATTTGAAGCGTAGCTGCTGTAGCAAGCGCCCATCAATCCATCAAGCCATGCCCGCTCTGTCAGTCTTCAGCATTAGCGATGGCATAACCACTCTATCTGAAAAGAATTTCTATTCTATAACGGAAGTAGAAAAGCGGCAGCCTAATGGGAAGATATCTCCTCGCTTATAGCTCATACTTTAACTAGATCTATGGTATTTCGGGGGGCTACCAAGATGGTTCATATACACAAGGCTACTGTATATAACGAAAAAGAGGCGCCTCAGTACCCTTTGTCATGCCGTTAGCTTTAGATCTTCAATGAAATTTTGAAGATTCTGCCTCCAGGTTCATTACAATGCGCTGAAAAAACTTAGTTGCAAGCAGATCAAAATCTCAAATCAAACAATCCAAAAGTGTTGGTTCTTCGATCCTAATGGTCACTCGTTGAGGGGCTTCCGGCCTACGACACCACCACCAGCCATGGCGGGCGAGCAGGGGCCGACCAACGACTCGGTATCGCTCCCTGTTCCGTCTACTGCGGCTCCTCGACGTCGGTCCTCCCGGCCTCATGCCTGTCTTTCTCGACGTTGGGTGGTGCAGCATAATCACGGGGCAGACTCATATGCTATCCTCGTGCTTCCACCTTGTAATGTCTGACCCGAGAAAGCTGCATTGGGTGCTCATATGTGCCACGAATGAGTGGATGCTGATAGACCATTAGCCGGAGCACTAGTGACGGCGTCGTTTTGTCCGTGAGAATATGCTACCAATCAAACCTATGGTTCAGAACAGCTTAGTAAACTTGAACATGATCGTCAACACTCCTATACAATCAACGCTAAATAACTCTCACAGCCCAAAGAATCCCCTTTAACAGATGCCCCATAAAAGCCTTATCTTGATATGCCTCATCGAAATGTCCCAAAGCAGTATAAAACGTCCTCCCACCATCAAACTCACGACACCATGCGATGGGATGATCGCTACCCATCGTGCCGCCCTTATAAAGCTCTTCATCGATCGACAGTAAGACCGTGACCTTACCCCGCGGATTCACCTTAAAATTATACCACTCGTCAAACCACTTCATTTTCTCCGGCAGCCCAGACACAATAACATGCCCCTTATTCTCCCCCTCCACCCTCACAACTCCACGCTGCGGCTCCGGGTGCCCTGCAAAATAAGCGCCCACCAGCTCACCGTACCACGGCTCGGAATACATCCCCGCCGCAGCACAATGGATGCCCACGAATCCTCCGCCATTATTCATGTATGTCTTCAGTCCATTGAGTTGTTTAGAAGTCAGGAACTCGCCGCTAGTAGACAAGAACACGACAACTTTGAATCGCGAGAGAAACTGCGCGTTGATCAGGGATGCGTCCTCGGAGGCCCTAATGTTGAAAGAGCCGCTCGAGACGCCAAGGTCCGTGAGACCCTTGATGCCTGCTGGGATGGAGTTGTGTCTGTAGCCTGCGGTTTTACTGAGGACGAGGACATCGAATTTCCCCTGGCTATTATTCATTATGAAGAAATAATGGGCGCTACGGTAGTATAGTACTAATAGGGGGTCGATTGGGGTTGGGCTGGATAGAGTTCATCTATATATATTAGTAGGACTAAGGCCACACTAGAATCTTGGAGGCTACGTCTAGAGATTCACCCCCGCATGACCTAAAGTAGTAAGCCGGGGATACGATCAGATGTAGGGATAAAGCTACTATTAAATAGGGAGTGGATAGGCTTTGATCATTAGAGGAGCAATATTCGTCAATTTCAGGACATGGTAACTATGTATACTTAGACAATTGGCCAATATCAGGGGTCTGACAACAATATAAACTATTATCAACAGTAAATGCTCGGCTGCCAAACACTAGTCGCCTACTGGAAAGCATACCGTTTTGAAAAGACTTTAGGTTATAGAGAGAGGGTATGACTTCCATCTGCGTTTGTGATTTCTGCCATATCGTATCGTTTGGTTTTGAGGCTAAAAGCTGTCAATGATCAGCTGATCATAGCAAACTATGACTTTTGACTCACCTCCACACAAGGTTTCCAACACAATTACTTTTTTGAACGTCAATGAATTCCTGGATCTCATCACTACAACCCAATTCGTGAGACTCCTCTATCAGCACTATCGCAGCTTGTTCAAATCCTTCCTTTGCCTCTCGTAATATCAGTATTGAGTGTGAAATTGCTGACCCCATATATCCCGACAAGGCGAAAGCCAGGGGGACCGAACTCTCGATGCAACCTCTTTTCTCATTGATAGGAGATCGTTTATGGCCGATATGATAATGTTCGTGTGTTTCCATAACTTTAACATCGACTTGCTGCTCAGGATCGGGAGTGGTAGACGTATGCTTAGTGAGAATTCAGTACTAGCTGTTCCAACATACACGAATACGAGATGGATGGATAAGGATATAACAGTCCTAAGTGAGGCTCGCGGACTCGAGAATAGCGGCTATTGCTATCAAGTATCAGAAGCTTCTTTATAGTAGTCTTGATCCACAGGAGTGCGCTATACTATTGTGGATGAGAATCTCTTTCACCCCGGTTGTATAGCTATTCACCAATTGCAACTTACAAGAAAGAAAGGCAATGTGTCTTGTCTTAGCATTTTCTACAATATCGAACCTATTTTGACCATAGCCAGAGATGACCATGTATCCATATCAAATATCATCAGGCATTAGACTTTTAGTCATCGTCTGGCTTATCTTTTGTCTCGGCCGTGTCGTGTATAGATTGTTCTTTCATCCTCTGGCGAACTTTCCAGGTCCTCGATTAGCTGCTGCAACTCATTTATATGAGATGTATTACGAGTTGATTCACGAAGGGGGCTGTCAATTCTCTCCTAATGTGAGAAAGCTTCATACGATATATGGTCCTATCGTGCGAATAACCCCTGATGAGATTTCTGTCAAAGATGCAAATTTTTACGACAAACTATACGCGCCGCAGCCGATAATTAGAGATAGGCACCCAAGCTTTTCTGCGATGCTGGGAACTACCAAAGGGTCATTCAGTACTCCTGGTCACCAGCTGCACAGGAGTAGGAGAAATGCGTACATGCCGTTTTTTTCGTGGTCTAATGTCATGGCATCTGAGTCTCTGGCTTTGAAGAAAATCAATCATCTTTGCGAAATTCTCACAAATAGAAGGGACCGACAGCCCGATTTTCGGATATACTTTGCCGCTCTTAGCTTCGACTCGTGCTTCACTTGGGCGTTCGGTAGCTCGCTTGACCTTCTGGACAACCTTACTTTGATTTCAACCTTACTTTGACTAGACAATGTACTGAAACCGTTGAACTCCTTGTCACCTCTGCGCCCATAAATAGGATGTTCCCATCTGTTGTATCCTTGGTCAGGACAATACCCCGTGTGGCACTCAGAAATTTCTCTCGTCATATTGATCGGATCTTTTATTTACAAGAGGTAAGGATGAACATTTCCAGACTACGAACACGCTGACAATGGGTATAGCTTGTCGTTCAGTCAGCTGAGAGCTTTGTCTCTCACGGGCCAACTTCATCTAGTCGAACATTGATGTTGAAACATTGTGTTCGAAGATAGTATTGGAGGTGCTCGTAGACTTCCCTGCATTTTAAGCGCAGTTGATAATAGTAAGCTATAGTTAAATAAGGGTTGAAGAGCGACAGGATCGGGTACTGCGTAAAAATTATTACGAAATCCGATAGCTGTTGGACATTGTGTTCTGAAGCCATCGTACATCGCGTTGTGTTACCCAGTGGTGTCAGGACAACATCACGCACTATTTGTTACCTACTCAGGTAGATACCCACCTGAGTCACAACCCCCACTTTGTCTTAAGCGCGGCATGGCCCGATACCTAAAGCTCTCCGTGTTTTATTTTTATGCTCTCTCCTTCCCTACCAGCCACCTCTTCTCCACTGCAACAACGTCATTTCGCATTAATATCGCCTACCTCATCGGCACCTACATCTCCAAGCCACTGATGCTTTCGCAACACACCGTACCGCTCAATGGCCAGCCCTTCGCCTCATCATCGCCATCAGGCGTCCCTCGAGGGCGTCATCGACTTCTCGCTCGAACCACCGCTGGGAGAGGATGAGCGGGTCGCAGCCATGCGCAGGTTTTACCACATAGTCAACCATTTCCAAAGTAAAGAGAAGAATAACAGTAGTAGCGGAAGCGGCAGCGGCAGCAACCCGTATAATCGACCCGCCCTTGTCCGCCTCACCCATGAGTACGCCCTCTCCGAGGAATCGCAAGATTACCTTCTCCGGGCCTTCTTCTGCTCCATGGCGCTATCAATAACTGGAGAACACGTAGATTTTGGCGATAAGGGTCTCGAGGAAGAACTTCGCTCGTCTTTGCGCAGCTTTGCAGATTATCTCCTTGACAACTTCTTTCTGCCTTGTCTGTATCAC